GATTATTTGTTACTACTTATAGGCCAGAGCACAGATATTTGACATAGGTTATAGGACACACTGTGCACGTTAACCGTGACAGCGAAAGTGCAATTAAAATTGTGCAGCATGTTGAGGGGGAAGACTGCACTGAGAGGTATATGCCCTTCTTCATTTACAAGGTTGAGAGCCGCACATCACTATCAGAAGTCAGTAGGACATAGAGTTGGTTAAAGAGATTATTTAAATTTTTACAAGTAACAGAAGCACCCCAAATAAAACTGTTTTGTACTGGATGCATGTCTTATTTGGGAGTGGAGGGGAAAGCCACAAAAATATCATTTAAAAAAAGAGTAGGCTGGGTGTGGTGGCTCAAGCCTATAATGCCAGCACTTTGGGAGGTGAGAGGATTGCCTGAGCCCAAGGGTTCGAGACCAACCTGGGCAACTTGGAGAGACCTTGTATCTACAATAAAAATAAAAAAACAGCCGGGCGTGGTAGCACGTGCCTATGGTTCCAGCTACTTGGAAGACTGAGGCAGAAAGATTGCTGGAGCCCAGCAGGTCGAGGCTGTGGTGGCCGTGAGCGTGCTACTGCACTCCTGCCTGGGCAACAGAGTGAGACTCCAACTCAACTTCTTTATCCTCATATATTAATTCATCAGTAGAACCCACTTATGAGGATTTGTGTTGATATGCCTATGGACTCTGGCTACCTGTAAATTTCATATATGTAATTCGGCCCAGTAGTCACAAATATATGTTGTTTTTGTATCATTTGCTTACTTTTTTTGTGGACTCTGTCATTTAAAACCAAAGACTTTTTAAAGCAGTTAACTGATAAAATAGGTAACTCATTCATGCATTCATTCAGCAAATGCTAACCTTTGAGTTAAACATTGTTTTTTTTAAACCAAGAACTCTGTTTCATCTGCTGGGCATATGTGTGAGTAGGAATTTGCTAGATCTTGTGGTGTGTTTTTTCTGTAAGTCTTTCTGTTCCTGCTTCTTAATCATTTAACATCTTGCTGTTTTATGTAAATATTTGTGGTCTCCACTTGATTTTTTGTGGCACTTTCTTTTTGGTAATTAGTACTCAACAAATTATCTTTTTTTTTTAGTGCAAGTTCTGTTGAAATCCTGACTGTGTCCAGCCAGAGAACAGGCCTCACAGAGTCCATTTCTCAACCTGATGCACTCAACTCTCTTTACATTTTTTGTTTTTTGAGTTGAAGTCTTACTCTGTCACCCAGGCTAGAGTGCAGAGGCACCTTCATGACCACCGCAGCCTCAACCTGCTGGGCTCCAGTGATCCTTCCGCCTCAGCCTCCTAAGTATCTGGAACTACAGGCGCATGCAACCATGCCCGGCTAATTTTTTGATTTATTGTAGAGATGAGGTGTTGCCATGTTGCCCAGGCTGGTCTTGAACCCTTGGGCTCAGGCAGTCTCTCGGCTCGACCTCCCAAAGTGCTGGGGTTACAAGCTTGAGCCACCATGTCCAGCCTCCTCTCTGTTCTTAAGAAAGACATGTGAGTAGCTAACTGTATTTCTCAATTTTCTTAACTTTCAAAAGGGCTATTAATATCTTCCTTATTTTATAGGTTATTGTGGATCAAGTAAGAGAATGAACTTGAAAATACCTGGAAGAACTAATGACAGTGACAGTGACTGCCATCCTCAACACGTGTGGCAGTGTACTTGTTGGGTTTGCGCCTATGATTACAGTGCTTTTGGGCGTAACTACTGCTATGTTCTTTTAAAACTGAGCACACTCTCGTAAGAGAGAGAAAGATAGACAAGGTATTTGAGGATTTTCTAGGGAAGAAATAGTTGCTTCTGACTGAAATTCAGGAAACACTTCCAGGACAAGGTGATATTGTGGCTGTTTAGTAGCATGTATGGAAAATGTTGCACTGGCAGCACCCAAATGGACTGTTATGTACAGTCATCTAACTACAAAGCCATCTTTGTAAAATGAGATCTCTTGAGCTCAGGTGTAAAGCTTGCCTCAAACACATAATTTGACATAGGTTGTCCCATGCTTTTTTCTCAGACAAGGAGGAACTTACAGTGCGTCATGTTCTTCTAGGAAGGGAGGCTCAGGTTTCTTTAAGGCTCTGAATTCTGCAGGAGGGTATTCTGCAGGAGGGACTTTTGAGCACTCGCTGGAGCAGATCGCACTGTCCCCAGCTTGGTGGCACAGTCGTGAGAGTGCTGCTCAGCACAGCTTCCCAGGCTTCTTCAGTCACCATCTGAGCTGCCATGCACAGCACTGTGGCGGTAGCCAGCATCATACAGTTTGTTTATTCTACAAGTTATTTGGTTGTTCCTATCTTGAGCAACATTCTGTAGTTCCTAGAATATTGCCGTGGTTTATCATAAAAATCTTCAAAGAAACTATTGTCCATGGTAGTATGAAACATCTTAGATATGTAGATATTCCTACTGTAATACTGTTTATGTGTTTCTATAATAGTTTGCCTTTTATAAAAACTGTCAGGATCTATGGGGAGCTCGAGCTGCACAAAACAGTATTAATAACTGAAAGGAACTTGTGCTGCTCAGGCAGGCAGCTGAGCATGGCAGGAGCTGCCGCAGCAGATATTGCAGTGCACACAACCAGCAGCCTATGCTCAGCTGGCTCACTTGAACTTGAGCAGGACAGTGGGTGCTTAATGAGAGTACAGGTGGCCATGGGGCCCTGGACAGCAGCTCTGTTGGCAGGGGATAGGGGAGATGGCAGGCCTGTGCACGGTGCTAGGGACAATTCTTAAAATATGCCCCCAAATGCTCCTGTGGCCACTGCATTCCCTAAACCTAGGACTTTTCCCTTAGCTTCTGAAGCCTAATTCTCTACCCACTTCTCTGCCTGCCTTGCCCAGGAAAAAGGTTGTGGACCTGAGTGACTTCCACATTATCCTGCCTTCTTTTCCCATTCACCAATGGAAGGTGAGCTACTTTTCACTAATGAAACACGTGCTATGGCAGGACAACTCTGTGTTCACTTCCAAGTCAGTGCCTTTCTTTAGCAAGTTGTTTTTACTCCTTCATTCCCTTCTGCAGAGAGACCAGCAGCATCTTAACATTGTGCTTGTTCATATCCTTCCCCCATTCTGTTTCCTTCCTTGCCTCAAGAAATGATAGCAAGATAAGTATATTCCTTAAGGATCAATGTCTAGGACTGCTCAGGGGGAGGCAGGGTGGCCTAGGACTCAATATGTAGGCATATGCTGTCAGCACCTAGACAAGGGGAGAGCTGGAAAGATTGGAGTTGATGGGAAATGTAGGAAGAAAAAGTGAGAGGAAGAAAGAAATGGAAATGAAATAAACTATGTAACTGAAACCCCAGCACTATTTAAATATTAATTTTTATTATTCACTACTAACCAGTTGGCTGAAGTGTTGGAGAAATCATGCTAATAATTGTCTGATATTAGCAGATCACTATATTGGACACTTTTGTTTTTCTCATTTAATTCCTTCCTTCATTTATTTATTTAAATTAAGAAGCACAGAGTAGCCGGGCTCGGTGGCTCAGCCTGTAATCCAGTACTTTGGGAGGCTGAGATGAGTGGATTGCCTGAACCCGTGGGTTCGAGACCCGCCTGGGCAACTTGGCGAGACCTCATCTCTACAATAAATAAAAAAATTAGCTGGGCGTGGTAGCACACACCTGTAGTTCCAGCTACTTGGAAGGCTGAGGCGGATGATCGCTGGAGCC